GTCGTGCTGGCAACGGCAGGTTTGTGGCGGATGTTGTTTTGCTGCCAGGTGCAATAGAGTGCTTCCCGTGGTACACGACCGCGCCTGGTGGGACTAGCGTGCTGTTAGCTGTTAGTCATTAAATTCAGGACGCAGAACTTCATTCATCCAGTGATGCCTGCTGCATTCTGTATTGCATTGCACTTGCTAGGTTTGACCTAGCTAAGCTATGTGGCGTGCGCCTAAATGCCAACGTCTGCGTGCCCTTTCTATAGGGATAGCATGTCGGTGGTACATTATTGATTTTTTGCCTGTATCACAGTATGTGTTTGTAATTAGGTTGAACAGTGATGCTGCCTGATGCAGCACTATTAGCAGATGCATACTTGTCATAAGGTCATGGCTAAACGCTTAGGGGAATTGAAAGCTCGTGTAGTTGTCCTAGCTGCTAGATTGTTATTTAGTTTTGGAATCGTAGTTGTTCGTGCTTGCTGTTTTAACCAGGCTGATAGTGATAGCATGCTGATAACTGTTGTTGATAGTGTGATGACTGTGGGAAGAGTATGGTAATGGTGTGATAACTGTGGTAGCTGTGTGGGTATAGTGTGCTTACTGTGTGTTAATAGTGTGATAATTAGCTAACTGTGAGTTACAGTGTGATCACTGTAATCATCTGCGTGTTAACTGTTCGTACCTGATAACCATATGGTAATAGTGTGGTAACTTCCTTTAAATGTTTTAACTGTGTGTTAACTAAGTGATAACTGTGTGTTAACTGAGTGATAACTGTGTGTTAACTGAGTGATAACTGTGTGTTAACGAAGTGTTAACTGTGTGTTAACTGAGTGTTAACTGAGTGTTAACTGAGTGATAACTGAGTGATAACTGAGTGTTAACTGTGTGTTAACTGAGTGATAACTGTGTGTTAACTGAGTGTTAACTGTGTGTTAACTGTGTGTTAACTAAGTGTTAACTGTGTGTTAACTAAGTGATAACTGTGTGTTAACTGAGTGATAACTACTGCACAGGTGCGCTGAGGTTCATGCGTAGGATCATCGGGCTGAAGGAGGACTTCTATAACCGCTACATCATCCGTGGCGACCTCTTTCAGCCCATCTTCGATGCTTTCAAGCAGAATGGGAAGCGCTACAACCTGCTCAACTCTGCCATACTGGAAATGTTTGAATTCATCAAGCTTGTAAGCATAGCTCTCGTTGCAAATCTCGTGATGTACTTCAGCAAGCGTGTTATTATGTGTGGTAATCCGTGCGTAACAAACAGCGAGTCATTGATACGGAATATATTTTACGATGTGCTTGCCGTTAGCTGATGACAGAGTGTGATTATTGACTGTGTAAAGAGAGATGTATTATCCATTTGATTTCTTACAGCAAGAGGACTCGGCTTTCGCTACACATGTAAGTACCAGTATTACGTTATTGGTGAAGTGTGTGCATGTGTTCATGTGTGAGTCATAGCTGTACATATCCTTGCAGTCGTCACGCAAATATTCACTCATTTTGAACTCAGCTGCATTATCTTGCAGTCAGAAATACGTCGCCCTAACGTTAATATTAGTATGTACTTGGTATAAAGTTATGTATCTGTATCAGTATAAAGTTGCATTAAAACCGGTGTGCCTTCTGTTCCGAACTGGAGCCAGGGTGCCTAATCCAAGCCATTTCTCATACCGAATACAGGTGCCCAAATTACGACCCCTAGCAAAATGCCCAAATTACAAAATTCATAAAACGCCCAAATTAGCAGAGCTCTGAAAATTGTGAAAATTATATCTCCATGTTTCTATCGTTATAGTGATTCATTCTGTTACTTATCTGAGGTAAAAAGAAAACATATCCATGGATATATTGAAACAATTGTGTTATATATCAGGATGATATTAATTTTAATGTTATACATCTACCTAAAAAAATATTTTACGCTCGCTGCGCTCGCCACCGGTCCCAATTTTTTTTGCCGATGGGTGCCCATATTAAGCAGCTAGATTAGTCCCTGGGAGCGTCTTGGCTTTGTTGTGACGGTCGTTTCTTTTGAACAGCAGGAGGACATGAAGGCGCTAGTTAGCCACGTGGTTGAAAACTACCAGAAGTTTTTCGAGACCGTGGATTACGTGCAGACGTTCAAGTCGCTGAAGCTTCGCTACGAACAGCAGCAGGACCGACTGAAGGACCGATCTGCACTCGATAGGTAGGACGAGACCCAGGGAAAAAATAAAAATGTATTTTTCGGGGGCTACTTTTCAAGCTCGCGTGCATGAAAATAGCACTAAACTTTGGTTTGCATTGAACTCTACGCAAATTTACGGGGGCTCTTTTTGGCATTTCGGGGGCTAAACCGCCCCGAGCCCCCGTGTATTTTTTTCACTGACGAGACCGCCACACTGTTGTCATCTACTATAGTACACAATCTATTATCCGAAATCTTTGGGACCAGACACGTTTCGGAATTCGGAATTTTTTCGGATTTCGGAGTGGTAGTACAGTACAGATATACCTACCGTATATCCTGCAACTAGCCAGTGCTAGAACCTTAGTTTTTAAGAGGCCAGGTGCTGTACCGGTATAGTACAATATGTATGAGTAATGCCAAACACGTTAATATTTCTGCAGTGAACCTTGTGTGGCCAAACGCGAGCTTTGGTGTGCAGACGACCTCCACGAAAAAACTCGGTTTTTGGAGCTTTTCGGTTTCCAGAATTTCGGATAATAGATTGTGTACTGTAGTATTATAGTATTATTAGTATTACTGGTATTATTTATAGTCACACATAACTGATGTTCGATGCATTCCTGAGGTGGGGAGATGGAAGGATTTCATGCACCTAGGGCTATTGTACCCGAGGAGATTTTTTAATAATTGATGGTGGCGCTCTCGCGTGTTTCCAGTGTACCGTCGCTGTTCCGGAACAACAGATTTCGGAAGGATGCCCGAGCGCTGGACGAAGATGAGGAGATGTGGTTTAACGACGATGACGACGATGAAGGTGAGGTAGTAGCACTGGTCTCGTTTCTACGGGGTTGGAAGTGAAGGATATGGGCCTGCTATTTATCCTCTGAGATGAGCTACCAGTAATGTCGCCCAAGTGCGTCACCCTAGCAGCAGCAGCAGCAGCAGCAGCAGAAGCAGCAGCAACAGCAGCAGCAGCAGTAGGACACGCGGCAAATATATAAATAGATTCGAGGAAAAGGACGATGTATACTCGACTTTCTCTTTTGTGGGGAGAGAATCGCTTTTACTTCTCTGTTCCCATCTTAGAAAACAAGAGAACACATGCCATATTACTTTTCTTCTGTATGAGGAGAAATAAATCTGTGGCCTTGTACAATTTAGAGACTTGATGAACATTGACACACGATATGTCAGTGTTGTTACTTTGTATTTGAAATAAATACAGTGGAATACATGGAACTGTATATAATTCTAATGGTTTGTAACAGAGCTAAGCATAACTACGTGTGTTCTATTCAGCGTGGAACTAATTTTAACAGCTGTTTATGTGTCCAGCAGATAAATCGGGCTTTTAGCCAGCTGGTGTGGTGTAAGATTAACCCGGGTGTGAACTGGTGTGATGATGCCGATGGTAGTGGTAAAATGCCATTAGCGTTGCTACAGTTGTATGTGACATGAAGTATACAATCCTGATGTAATTTCGATTATTTTCGATAGGTAAAGAGAATGAAAACCAGGAACTTTCTTCAAATAAGCCTTCGTACTTAGGAATATCGGTGAAATCACCGCCGTCAGTGCTTCTCAACAACTTTGCAAACGGCAACGGCTCGTCTTCACCACCGCCTATAACCAGTCCAACTTCACCGAGTGCAGCAGAAGCACCGGACGTACCAGTGAAGAAGGTAAATCCCCGAACATAGAATCTATTAGCTATAATGTGTGGATAGATATTCTCAGCTCTACGCACTAAAAGAACTAAGAAAGCACTATAAGCTGAAAGCACTATACAATGTAATTACATATATGTACAGTTAAACCTCGATTATCCGAACGAGACGGGTGGGGAGTATTGTGTTCGGATAACTGGTTGTTCAGATAACTGATCTGATCGTAAATAATCATTACGTATTCACGGGACCTTGAGATTTTGTTCGGATAATCCGAAATTCAGATAATTGATGTTCGGATAACCGAGGTTTGACTGTATATGTATATGTGTATATGTATGTACATAAATGTATAAAGTGGGAATTGATATTAGTCAGTTCAGGTTCAACGGATTTTGCTCATTTTTGGTCTGTGAATGAATAAGGGCTAGGGGTTTTGATATTTAAAAAAAAATTATGCAAATTAGGTAGGTTTGGCATTATATAGCATATTATATAAACACAAACAGTCTGTGGTGTCACACTCGTCTCTGGTTCGTTTTACAAGATTTCATTGACAATATCTTTAATGCCAAAATTGGTATTTCCTCTCCACTCTGCCGATAAAACGTCTATATTAGAGTAAAGATTTACAAAGTGTCGAACGCAGCATAACCTATTTATTTCAACGCGCCATCACTACAAAGCGGTATATGCGCCATCTAGCGGTCCACAAAATGTGATTCATTTTGGTTTATAAATTATTATTGCGATATACAGATGGCAATTCGTTTCTATAATGTACGTCGATGGTTGCTCAATTAAAACTGACTTCTTCTTACTCATCATTTGTGTCCTTTTTGTGGTGAGCTACAGTGTCATTGACACTTTCATTTAATAAGCAGGGCATTTAAAGCACTACGGATTGCTCTTCAAACGTCGATGATGTTTCGAATTCGTTTTCGCGTGAGGGAAGCATTAAAAAGAACAGAAACTGTTCACACGGATACCGCCTTCGCTGGATGCAATTACGCGGTGTGACGTCTGCTGTTGTTTGCTTTTCAGTCCGGTCTCGTGGGTCTGGTCGACTATCGGATGACGATGATTCTGACGAGTGAGGATGGGAGGAGGGTGAAGACGCGAGGGAGGCTCCGGCATCGAAGCGACCGCGGTTGTCAACGCCGTAACGATTTGGCGTGGTCGCTTCTCACCCCTCTGCCGCCACGGCGCGTGTCCGCTGGCTCGCGTCGGCCTCCACACAGACAGATCTCATAGCCGCCGGCAGCAGTGCTGCGAACCCCCTCCCCTCCCACCGTGACCTACACCACACATCATCCCTCCCTCCTCCGTCTCCCTCCTCCTCCTCCTCCTCCTCCTCCTCCTCCCTCCTCTCTCCTGCCTCCCTCATCGCCCCAGTGCAGCAGTTGTAGACCGCACCAGAGCATCCCCGTCTCTGTCACGTGCGACACGACCATCACATCACTGCCACGCCGTGACGTCACACACTGTGTAGGTACAGTTGCTGTTGTATATATTTATTGTTCATACGTGTAGTTTGTACTCCGGATCGAATGCCGACTAGGGGCAGTAATCGGTAGGCACTGAGTGAGCGTATATCCTGGACAGAACGGATAGGGTCGTCTCAGGATTTGTGTACATACACGTGCCCGTTCTTAGCACTCAAGTTATAATTGCATAGTGTATCTATCAATTTGTGTCTGTTTTGCGGGTGCCAGTACGTGCTTTGGAGTGATCGCTAGCACAGGTCAATATCAGAATAGAGTGATCAGTTCACCGTGCATGGTGATGGTTAGATGCAGTATGGAATAGCAGAGGAAGTTAGTCTTGACAACTACTTCACTGTTGTCAGTTGCCATATGCACAATTAACATGGAACGGTTACTAGTAATCCTTCATCTTTATCACCCATCCCCAACTAACCGGTAGGATAGAAAGAAGTCGGATGTTAGTCAAATGATCAAATTTAGAGTGAAATTCAGTCCGAAAATGATGATGTAAAATTAGCTTTTTGTTTTTGGAAAATATAATAATGATGTGAGATATAGACCTGCAGTGTATTTGCGATGTCTTCTATGTAACTCTTTATTAATCTTCACTTTATTGATATCTTTCATTTCTGTGGCTGCAGCAACTAATCAAGTTAATATAGGAACAAGTGTATATACATATAAATCTGTCTATCAAAAGTTGAGAATTCCATCCTTCAACCAAATTTGAAGTGGAAATTCCAAATACAGAATATTTTTGAGATGTGGACAGTAAACTGCTCCAGGCAAGAATTTCAATTTTAGTTTTTATCGTAACATTTTAGCTGGTGCTTTCATGAGGTGTGTGTGTGTGTATGTGTGTGTACCCTGCCTGGGACCATGCCAAGCGCACAGGGTACAGTAAAGGCTGAATGGGCTGTGGTATGGGAAGTGCATTGAGCCCGTGCTTTTAGTACTTTTATTCGTTAAGTGCAGAATGTTGGGTCTGTTTTGCATTACTAGTGTCATCATGCAGTATGAGGGTTAACAGCATAGGCACCGCCTATTGTAATCAATAATATTCTCTGTAGTCTTGTTGTACATAACATGAGGGCCTGCACCCATTGGTGGACAGTTCCTAGGCAGTGAAGGGGCAGTACTGCTTTACACCGCTACTGGAGGCATGTCCCCCTTAATAAATAGTAGGTAAACATACGAAATTACATTCACTGTTTTTATTCCACAGTGGTTTGTTCAGATTATTTTTATACGGTCTGTGATTCCTAAAAAAGATTGCAAAGTGTGTCACCTTTATAAATGAATGGATTCTTATGAGTTTACGAATGGCCAAGATGTATGCAGTAAGAAGTGCACCTTTTAAAGACAATTCTCGCTCTTTTTGTCGTGGTATAGGTTCATTTGTAGTGTTTTATGAGAATATCGTGCATGGCAGCAGCTTTACCGATGGTGCGAATCTGTGGAATCCAGCCAGAGCGTTTTAAAATCAGGGATACGCGATGCTTGACCATGTGTTAGCTCTTCGTATGTATTCTGATTTATACGATGTTGGATTGTAGAATCGAGCTGTTCTACGTATCACTACTAAGGACGTGTGTAGTTCGTTTTGTATTATAATTACGTCGCCGAGAAACAATCGCATGTTGCGATGTTTTTCACTTATTTTTTGTGATCCTGTGTCATATTAATATGAAACAGAGTGTGAGCCGCCAGTGTACAATTTCTTCTGCTGCCATCTTCAACAGACGCGCGCGCGCATACGTCACCACGACTGGTGTTGCATGTTCAGCTTTCGCCCCCACAAAAATTTTATCGCAAGTGGTCTGACTTTTAGTGTTGTGTATTCGTAGTTTTCTTTTTATATAAACTAGCCCTTTTATTTGCCATGGGAATGCCCGTTGTCCGTATTCGTCGGGGGGTGGGCGGTTAGTGTCCCTGCGGCACGGATAATAATGGTCTGTTACAACACAACCTGACAAGCAATGCCAACGTTGTCATGTCAGTCTGTAGTATCGCTGTAAGCTGTTTCACAGTTTTGCGTCTTGTTTGAATGTTCGAAGCGAATGTGTAGAGAGAGAGAGAGAGAGAGAGCACTGGCCTGAATTCTGTTTGATATTGATACGGGTTCACGTTGTACCAATCCATGTAGTGAAAAATCAGTTGCTAAAAAATCGTAGCCTTTACAAATGCGTGTGAAATCAATGGAGTACCATTTTGTAGATTGACCGGATTGGAAATTTTTAAACATGTGTAACACTGTAAAACCAAGTTGTGTATCTAAAAAATAATAAATCGAAAGCAAAGCAGTTACCGAAAGTGTTTTTCCTGGTTATTGAGCAAGCAACAGTAATAACGACGTGTGTGCGTGTATTCACGAGGACAGCAAACATGTTCGTTTATTGCACGCACCACTGAAGTAGTTTCACAGCAATGATCTCCGGCTTGTTTTCAGGGTCCCCACAGCCCTTGAAAGTCCTTGAATTTTGTCCTTTGTCCTTGAAAGTCCTTAATTTTTCATTTTGTCATTGAACGTCCTTGGAAATAGGTCCAAGTCCTTATTTTATGTCTAATGTCCTGGAATTTTATATTTTTGACCTAAAATAAAAAGCACATCTTCATTGCTGGTTATCTGACTGACCATATTGCAAGTCTTCTATAAAAATGATAAATTTAATCCAAAATTCATTTGTCTTTGTCTACTAATGTACTCTAGTATATCTATAGTATGTCTAGTAGTTTGTTTTGTCCCTAATTTTTACGTGCAGGTGGTGTAGGGGTCTAGACTATAAGTTCGTCATTTTAATATTTATTTATTACTCAGTGTTCCTATTTTGCTACACAATTGTGTGTGTAATTTGTGTATAGGAAAATACACACTGAGTAATAAAGAAAAAATTATTATAATAGTCACCATATAGTTACGACTGCCCTGCCAGACCATCCCTGCCCATGCCACCCATGACTAAAAAGTGGGAAAACAAAACTAGTTTTAACAGATACTCTTCTGTGAATTTTTGATTAAATTTAATGTTATTTATTATTATTTGTAAAGAATTTGGACAAGGAGAATATGACCCTTAATGGTTTCTTCCATGGGTTGGAGGCTGAAGAAGATCTTTAATTTCACCAGCTCAGCAAGTACTATTAGAAAGAAATCCATAGAGAAAGGATTGCTCTCATCAGAGGCGTATCTAGGAAAAACAGCGCCGGGGCAAGTGCTAAAATTGCGCCCTTTCCAACTTCTGACGCCAATGAAAAAAATTAAGAAACAAAATGGAATGTTGAGTTTTTGGTTGTTCCTCAGATTAGGATGCCAATACTTCTAAACTACAGCTACTATCCCAGGTCCAGGTAACAGGGGCGTGTACAGGATTTGTACCAGGGGGTCTAACCGTAACCCCAACTTGTGAGCACGCGAAGGACCCCCTTAGATGCGTTTTCTGCGCGAGCAAGGGGGGGGTCCGGACCCCCTGGACCCCCCCTGTACACGCCCCTGGGTAATCAACTTGTCAAATAAAGGATTGAATTATTTCAAGATATCATTTAGTTGGCAGATTGTTTTTTTTCCTTTGCCTTTTTGCGTTTTTTTACCTTTGCTTTTTTTTGCGCCCCCCTGAACATGGCGCCCGGGGCACGTGCCCCCCTTGCCCCCCCCCCTCCCTAGATACGCCACTGGTTGCACGCACGCGTGCGCGTGTATTATAGTAAATTCACATTTTGTGCCTCGGGGTGGAAAAGTTTCATCTGAAATATGGTCATTTAGCTGGCTAACTTTTCACCGTGCGACTGATGCCGTGGACGATACTATTCGCGAGAGGGGAGTAAGGAAGTGAGCAAGGCAAAGAAACGGAAAAAGGCGAGTATAGGCTATATATATATATATATAAACATGTGTATATATATAGCGCCCGAGAAAGAGGGAAAATTGCGAGAGAGAGAGAGAGAGAGAGAGAGAGAGAGAGAGAGAGAGAGAGAGAGAGAGTGTGTATGTATGTGCGTGTGTGCGTGCGTGCGTGAAGAGAAATATTGCGAGTGAGAGAGCGAGAGAGTGTGCGCGTGCGTGCGTGCGTGCGTGCGTGCGTGTGTGTGTGTATACGTATGTGTATATTATATAACGCCCGAGGAAGAGAGAGAGTAAGAGAGAGTGTGTGTGTGTGTGTGTGTGTGTATGTATAGTGAGTGCGTGCGTGCGCGCGTGTGTGCGTGTGTGAAGAGAAATATTGCGATATTGCGAGAGAGAGAGACAGACAGAGAGAGAGATTGTGTATGTGTGTGTGCGTGCGTGCGTGCGTGTGTGTGACAGTGTGTGTGTGCGTGTGTATGAGAGAGCGAGAGGGGGTTAGAGTCACGGAGAGGGAGAGGGTGAGCGGGAAGGCGAGAGAAGTAACTATATTAGAAGGAATATGTGCATCCGTGCCTGTGTGTGTGCCGTTTGTGCCGTACGTGCGTTTGTCTGCGCGTGTGTACTGCGCATACGTTTGCACATCTCCGTCTGCATTCTTCCCTCTCTCCTATCTTCCCTATTTCCTTCCTCCTCCCTTCTCACTCCCTTTCCCTCAGTATTTCCCGCCCCCTCTCGCGGTTAGTATCGCCCACGGCATTAGTTGTACGGTGAAAAGTTAGCCAGGCAAATGGGCGGATTTTAGCCTCAACTTCCCCCCCCCCCAAAGCACAAAATATGATTATACGGCTATAATACGCGTTTTTACAATCACGCAAACACACATACAGTTTTACACACACACTAACGGCTGCGCACGCTGCGGGTGTGATCGCACGTACGCGTGCGGGTGTATTATAGACGTAACTTCACATTTTGTGCCTCGGGGGTGAAAAGTTTTCAGGTGAAATACGGTCATTTGGCTGGCTAACATTTCACCGTGTTCTTGACGCCGTGGGCGATACCATCCGCGAGAGGGGAGTAAGGAATAAGTGATTACTTTTATTCACTCTTAAAGTTACTGCCTGCCTGACACAGCAGATGAAAGGTCAGCATAAAGAACCGACAATTGTTTATTATTATTAAATCTTTATTGCATGTAATTCAACTACAAATACGTGTAGGGCCTACTGAAGACAGTCTTTTTCATGGAGAAAAAATCTGATGAATGCAATAGTGTTGAACAGTTAAAATAATAAAATTTCTGAGTGATACAGTACATTGTGTGATACATAGTTCTGAGTGATACATGTTACTTCAAAGATTTACATATTGTTACAGGACTGTGACATGAATCTACGTGAATGACAATATGAAACGACTATTGTGTCATGTGCGTTGGTAATCAGCGAGCTATAGCGGCTGTTTAATTTGCTGTTGGCACTCTAAAAACAACTATTTTTTACTTTATATATGAATCTAAGGTATATAGGATGACTCTAAAAGGCTCAAACTACTTGTCACCGATTGTCCTGGAAAAAACACGTACTTGAATGTCATTGAAAAGGCCTTGAAAAAATCATTCAAACTTTGTGGGAATCATTGACTTTTTAAGTGAACCGTTTTACACATTTAAACATGAATGAAATCGACTCTCTGTTCAGCTGCTGCGGCTCGTAGGTTAAACTTCTTGGCGTATTAAAATGTGAACATCTGGTTAACATCTCATTAAAGGTGTGTTCTGTTGAGGCAATTTACATAGATTCATTATAGCACACAACGCAGCGACAATGTCCGCAATTATTGTTATTCACTCTAATAGTTGTCATATTCATTTCGGGGGTCGATATGTTTACGGGGTTTTCCGTTTCTGATATGTCTGTCTATAATTCTGATATAAATAGACTAGCCAACACTGACCTTAGACCGCATGATTTAACAGAGCAGCAAATGATGCTAGCATGTAGCCGAGTATAAAATATTATAGGTAACCGACTGGAATATCAATCGAGTAGCATTTATCTTTGATCTGCAGATGTACATTAGTAACAAACTTATTTGACCATCAGCACACTTTATTTCGAAATAATTCATGATCTTCCAGAATATCAAGTAAAACGGGTTACTTGAGATATTTGTTAGACAAATATTACCTTAGCAATTACAGTTGGACTAAAGCTAAAAAAAATTATGAAACTGTGTGAGCCTTGTTTTAAAACGTGGCTATGATTTCGTGACAAAAATAACAGTTTGGTTCATGGACGGAACAAGCACGTGGGTTAAAAACAGTAACAACGTGCACACTGCACAAAAACTTGTCATGTGTCAACATGCCATAAATTTTAGATTCAAAATTCAAGATAAATCGGGCAGACCCCTTCCACGTAGTTTTGACTAGTGCAAGTAAACAATCTTCACCTCATATAAATAAACTCCACATAAATATATATATACGATCATAATAAAAATATATTAAAATAAAGTGAGTAAAAGTGAAAGTGAAAAAAAAATCGGTGGAACGCATTGATACCTAAAATATCCACAGCATTAAGAAATTGCTTTAAATATATATATATGCACCTTTACTGTCCACAACATCCTGATTGTTACAGCGTGTTTGCATCATTCGTTTTCCAACCTGTAAAGTCCTCCTATATATATATATGTATATATATAGATGCACATACAGGGGCCTACTACACAGGTTGGTTATTTTCACACCATTGAGGCAGTTTGCTAAACAGATAGCTCTGCTACATACAGATGCCTTCCCATGGTTACTAATTCAACTGATTTGTAGCAAATCACAGTAAACTCTGTTTAAATCTGTCTGTTAGGCGGGACCTCTTGCAGTTAATGATGGCAATTAGAATGAGGAAAAGCTGGAGAACGTCAGGAGAAAAAATGAGCAATGGCAAATACAATGTTTTGTAATTGTTTATAAGATTTGTCGCACTAGTTTCATCATATCACTCCATTTATCCACTTTTTTTTATAAGCACGCGGCTGGAAATAAACGGTTGTTAAATGTTAATTCACCAATGCTGTATTTGACGTGGCAATTTAAACAGGAAGGCACCTTTAATAGACAAAAATAACTATTCTCCCTGTCATGCAATGACTTTCCACTCGTAGGACAACTTTTATGTCACCATTGTGGACACACCTACTGCTACTATGGCTCTATACTTTGCTGAATGGTAAGCAATCGGTGGTTCACATTATGGTCACTATATACTACTGAAGCAGTAAAATAGCATGAACACTTCTTGCACGGCATGGAGTAAGAAAGACAAGCAGAAGCAGCAACCACCACACGGCAACCACACTGAAAACACGGATTCACGCGATATCGAGTGACACGGTGACGTCATACACGTGGCGACAGCGCAGTACTTAGCTTATTCAAAGTGACCTTTAGCTGCGGCAGGAAAAAACAAAGGAATTCAATTAGAATGCTCTGTAGGTAACTTCACTGTGACCAAGTATGGCCGACAACGCTTGCTACTATAGCCTATAGCTATAGCCCTTACAGAAGAATACCACGCCAGACAACAATTCTTAGTGTACGGTCACACTACGCAACCGTTTATAAGTGACTGTTTGCTAACACAAGAAATGCGTTTGCTTATAATAACAGTATCTCAAAACGTGCCTATAATTAAATATATTACGTATATTTTAGAGTTATATACAGCAGCTCCCAGAAGGCCTGCAATGGACGAACAATAAATACCCGGAATGTGCCCAGCAGTTAGGAATGTGAATCATAAATAGTAAAGACCGTATATATACACGGTATTCTACGTTGTCTTTGATAATTACAGGATATAACAATCACAAATTTTAATTCTCACACAATTTGTGATTATTACTACCTGATCTTAGTGTGAATATATAATAATAGGCACGGTCATGCGTGACTAACAAGTTTCTTTGCGTTCGAGATCTGCAGTTCAACCATAAGAACCTCAGGATAACGAAACTATACCAGGAGAATACGACGTTCAGGTATATCACGTCATATTCGCCTGGTTAGAAGCATACCCAAGTAGCACACATTCTGCAAAGGGTGCAGACTGTCCATACTAACAGTACTACACTGACATTATTAGCTTTAAGCAGATTGTTAACTTCTGTGTTTGCCGTAGGTTCTTACACATGCAACAGAACCTATATTACCTGACCCGCACGTCTTCTTGCATAATCTACGTGTTAGAAGATCAAATAATCGACACACAAACAGATGGAGATATATTGTGGAGCTAAAGACTGTGCTTTGAATACGGCGCTTAAACACGAAGTAAAATTCATACTACTATAAGTACTTTCATTAGATTTCATAAAGTCAAAACACAAAACATCTAATAATGGAATGTGACGGAGATTAAATTCAATACAATATTGAACAAGAAATGCGTCGGCTATACGGTGCAACCACATGGAGTTGTGCATACACAACAAGGCACGGCATAACATCTTTACGTGACAACAAGCAACATAAGTGGTGCAGTGCTCACTAAAATCAAGAAATTAAACATGCAGACTTCCCCTAATGTACAATAACAAAATTGAGCCTAAAGAACACGTCGGCATACCCCGTAACATTTCAACGTTTTCCCCTTCATTTTAACTACGGAGAATATTATATTTCGAACGTACGAAATTGTTTTAGTCATGGGCTGTGACACGAAGGTGAAGAAATATTTGCAACCACAATTAGTAACGACTAGTCTATTGCCTGGACGGTTACTAAAATCGTTGGCAAGGTTAGGTAGGGATCTGAAAGCCGTAATCATGTAATTTACAGATTGCTGGCTTATTATCAGATATAAATCCCCCCTGTTTAAAAATTCCAAGGTTTGAAGGAAAACCCATCAGGCGACATGTCATTCACACAAAAAGTGTCTTTTGCACGTTCCTTTTTTTATTGCGTGTTCCAAACCAACAGCTT